TAGGATTATATTTAGAGTTACACTTAAACGTTGTTTGAGCTGTAAACTAAATTATATATGAATGTACTATAATGAACCACATCAGTGTTAGTGTTAATTTACTATTTTTAGAAAATTACTTTAAACAAAGCCATTTTATGACTTGAAAATGGCTCAACACGCCATCTACTGTTGTAAATTAAAAAAACCCTGAACCTTGCAAGGCCAATGCTGATCGACCATTTGGGACTACTTCATGTGACATTTATATAAAAAAAAGAAAAAAGAAAACAGTGTTAATGCCCTTTAATGAGAGAAAGACACCTCCCCCAGCTTCAGCTTGGAGTGGAAGTCTGAGCTCATTTTCAAATGTATATTTGAGACCCAGACTTGTGCTGCAGAAAGACCACAGGACTGTAATCTTTACCCTGAACCCACACACTGACACTCATACTGGAGAGTTAGCTGATCTCTGAGCTGTTAGCTTAGGCTATAACACAGGTACCATCTGTGCCTGTATGTGGACGAATAAAGGTGCCAGTACCCTAATTCATCCCAGCCCAAACCCTAAACGCAACATAACCCTAACACTGTTCTCAGGCTAGCTATGTGTTTTGACACACAGACGCAGTTGTTTAAGAGTACCTCACCAGCATTGCTGTACGCAGGGTATTAGAAATACACAGGTTCAGAAACTGAACTTGCTAGGGGGGTTATGGGGCAATAAATCAAAGCCTCAAAGTAGCTATCTTTATACAACTAATAATTACTTTTGTTGTATAACCCCTGGAAAAAAGACACTGTTGTAATAAGAAGTAAGGGACGTTCTTGTACAAGCTGCCACGATTATGCTTCCAGTGACTGTAAAAGCTCCAGGGGACTCTCTCTGAGTCAGGGTCTGACAGCAGCTGCTCACAGCTGGTTAACTCTAACTACCAGCTCACTATTCCTGCTGTGGTCAGTCTGTCAATCATTCTGCTCGCTGTCGCAGCCACGCCCCCTGCTAAAGTCACTGTTCTTTGCAGGTCTGATGCATTTTTTAAATTTCCAGAGAGGGAGGGAGCTAGCAGAATCGACTTCTTTCACAGCAGCCACTTTGACATGAGGCTTTAGTTAAGTTTGGTTAAGTTACATGAAGAATGCTCCCAGTCTTTATGCTAAGCTAAGCTGCTGTTGTAGTTTAATAAGTGCATTTACAAGCATGATGCATGATTTTGTGACATCAAAACCAGTTGAGAGACTGAACTGAAAAATAACTGTTCAACTTTTGGAATCTAAAATATTTGCACATTCAAACATAACATACTTTTCGATGAGGGTGAAGCCGTTAAGCAGGTTTTTAAGAGACTTTATTCAACTTTTTGTGGAAACAAAACAGACTAATTATGTCTCGTTCATATCTGTTATGTATTGTTTGTCTACCACTGTAGTCTATATTTTAAATATATTTTGTGCACAGCTTTTTTATTAGCTATGTGTCTACATCACAGCAGCACTCTCTAAACTATCAGTCTATCACTGCCCATTACTAATTCATAAAATAAAGTGAGAGGAAATAACTAATAATAGGAGCAGGCCCTTTCGTAATAGTTGGTTGCAAGAATAGCAATTTAATTAGTGAAACTCTCAACTCATGCATCCCCCAGGCTACATTATAATCCCGTATACTTTACAGGAATTGCATGACCTCATAGGAAACAGAAAATACCCGACAGTACGATAAAGTCACTGTAATATGACCCACAAACACACTGCAGGTCTCCACAGGAAGATTATAGGCTGCTGATATATTTCAGCTGGGAGGTTAGTTCAAGTGCAGTCAGAAGATTGCATTTCCTGCAAGAGTATTGATGGCCTTTATCTCATACCTTGATGTCTTTCTAATGAGACTGTAAAAGTAATCTGATGCAAAATAGGTAGAGTGTGTGTGTGAGAAGTTGGTAGGATCAATGTTGTTGTTAACCTTCACATCACAGATGTCCTGTTATACCTATAGATAAAGATGGAAACGCCTTTTTGAGACCGCAGGCTGTTTATTTCTCCGACATCAAGTGTTTTTGTCACAAAAGGATCATAAATTATAGGTACATTCACATGCTGTTCATAGAAAAAAAATTAAAAATAAAATAAATAAAACAGATCCCACAATAGGCGAACTGTAAATAATGAGGCGTGAGAAAGTCTGACTTGAAAACCAAAGGGAAAAGGGAGTGGACAACAATAGACTTCCTGTTAAACCAGCTGACATCATGTCATATGGGAAAATGTGATTGGTATAGCCTTAGCCCTGCCCAACTGTAGGAAAACCAACAAAAAAAACCATTTAAGACGGAGATACTCAACTTGCTTTGCCCGGGGGCCCACTTTTGAAAAATGACAGGAGGCCAGGGGCTAACTAATCAACAAATAATGTTTATCAGATGAAACGAATAAACATTAAGATTGTTGATTTGGCAGAATAAGATGACTTCAAGGTCGTAACCGTCTGATATTAGCAACCTGTGGGAAAATAAATTCACATGTCCATTTCTCATTGAATATACTTATTAGACATGGAACAGTAGGGTAAACACGGCGTTATCAGTGATACTAATTAAGGCTGTGTTCCATTCAGATCAATCAGAGTCAGGGTGCTGCTGTTCCTCTGTTCACTGAAAAGGCTCTGCTACGCTAAATGGAACAGAAGATGTTAAGTTCAATTAAAACATGATAAAGGAAATGAAGTGTGTAACATTTAGGAGGGTCCTTGGGCAGAAATGGAATATAATATTCTTTTCATTGCTAATTAATAAAATCAGAACAGCACTTTGAGGTTTTACAGGTTTGACATAAAATAATGTGTCAGTTAATGAAACATGTCAGCTGAGTCCCCCTGTTTTCAGTCTGCTGACTGTAGGTTATTGTCACCAACATGGTATCATTTTAATCACTATTTAGAGAGATTAAGGTCAGGTTCAAGCTTTTAAGAAACCCTTGCAACAACCCTGTGTGGACCCACCACTCAATATGCATTTCTCTTAATTCTGTGTGTTTACCAACCACGTAGACGAAACACAAATCTGCTTCCCTCCTTACAAATCTTGTGACAGGTTTAGAGAACAGAGAGGCCTAAAGTAACCGACATTGTATGTGTGACTGCATGTTTGTATGTGTGAGACAGCGTTCTGAAAACTGCAGGTACTCAGTTCCTGGAAAGTGATCGGTGTTGCCGACTAATAGCTGAACTCTTGCAGTAACCACAGGCTTGAGTTTGCTCTCGTTGACAGGGCTCTCGGTTTAGGGGGTGACTCAATACGAAAGCAAAAACATCCGACTGTACTCGATGACAAACATCTTATTCTCAAATATTATATGTGAAGAGTCAAACCCTCTTTGCAGATATTTGGCATGCGCTTTATTTGCATACATACTCTTAACTGTCACAGATGCAGTGAAACAATAGGAGATGAAGCCTAAAACCATATAGAAACATTGTTCATGTTGTTTTTATCACAAACCACATCCACTCATCTAGTTTTCTTGTCTACATTAACGAAGAAACGGAATCTGACCTGAAAAAGCAGATTTGATTCCTGATTACAACTAATTACTGTTATCTACACTTACTGTTATAGATTGTCAGTCTGTGATGTTTGATGCTTTCCAGGAGTTATCGTGTGACAAGATATTATACACAGTTTCCTTCAGCTGCATTCCTCCACTTCAATGATCTAATGTTTCCCAGAATGAGTTTATAACAATCCCCACAGAAGTGTGGCGAATGTGTTATTTTCACCTGCCGATGTTCCGTGTAGGCAGTGACAGCAATTATGATACCATCGTACGAGCAAGAAGAAAAGGATAAAACTGATTTCTTTTCCAGTGTAGGAAAAGCGAGTAGTGGCACATGACACAACACGCCTGTCTGTTCCAGTGTATGCTAGTGAGGTTTGCAAGAGGTGGAGATAAAGAAGTACACACTCTTTGATTCTAAGGGTCAAACACTAAATGCTGCACAGGATAGGTCAAAATGTTAGATGTACTTATGGCACCAGAGGAAAAACCAGGTGATCACTAAAGTCTATAGGCTTTATCCTCTGGAGACCATCGTGAAATATTTAAATTTGGACCAAAGCGGTGGATTGACTGACCAACATTGCCATCTGTAGAGCCGTGCCCACTAGTGGTTGAAAAGAATAACACCTGGGTTTATTTTACAATGTTTTTGGATGGACAGTTCCTTTAAAACGTACCACTACTAGCCTACCTCAGCTATCTGTAAAGTCATATTTATAATCACACAAAACTAGGCTTCGGTAGGTTTAGAAACTGTGGACTTTCAGTTGAAACATTAATTCAAAACTGTCTTGTCACTAACAACAGGGAAACAAAAGAAAAGAGAAAAGCAGCTTGCCTTCCTTCCTCAGATATTGTAAACTACTTAATACACTCAAGACCTGGTAAGGGAAATGACCTTCTGTCTCAGAGGTTGTGTTGGTTGGTACAGGTTGCTGAAACTAAGTTCATAGCCATGTCAGACACTTTTCCTGTTGACGATTTCCGCCCAGCTCTTTGGTTACGCAAATGGCACAAGATGCTCAGTGCAGAGGGGAAGAGATGCACAAAAAGAAAAAAAAGAGTGCCGGTATCAGCAGTATGACTCATGCCTTACCATATACTGGAACATGAGCTTCTTGCAGTGATATTGAGAATAGGTGTATAATCAAGTCTGAGGTGTCTGCAGGTTTTTAAAATTAAATTCAAAGCAATTATCTGAACTTTTAAAAGTCTAAGTCTAGCTTAAATGTATATATAAATCATCACTTCCTCACAGATCCACCAATATTTTTGACACACTAAATTTACATGTTCATTCCCTAAAATGTATATATTATTATCTGTAAACTGTGTAATGCATAAGTGGTGAAAAATGTTATGAGAATTTAAAAAAAAAAAAACACTAACACTTTATAATAAGGGTCCAAATCATTCTATATTAAATGTTTGGTGACCAACCTGTGGGAATGCAGTAACACAGAGAGTATAGGCCAATAAAAAAACATTTATTAAGTAACATACACTTTAAAACATCTTCTAGGCAATTTTAAATTTAACATTAAAAGTCCATGTCACTGCTGCTGTTCAGCATGATAGCAACTCACAGGTTCTAAACCGTCAACAAAACCTCACCTTCCTAAAAACACAGAGGGCTCCATTACTGTTGTTCAAGCTCAAAAACTATTTTTGGCGAGTAAGCATCAGTGATGGGTGGAGAAAAACCTGCAGTCAACTGACAACGGTAAAGATGTGTCTTATGTGAGAGAAAAGCAAACTAACACTTGACCACAAAATTTACTGAGCTGCGCTTTGCAGTATATCGCACAAACCTCTCGTCCTCTTTTTTGATCGTATGTGACTACGTATGGTGTTATTAAAGGATTTGCATTAGAGACTGGTGACTAAGTAATTATAGTGGCCAACTACTGTGCAATTATTCTCGAGTAAACTGATCTGTTTCGGGGTTCTGCAGCAGGTAGAAGTAATGATGTTAATGGCAGACCTGAGTTATAAAATCACATATAGCGTAGCTCTACTAATCTGCACTCTGAGGGCGTCCTGAGCAGTGCCGGATTAGAATTAGCCATGCTTTGCAATTGGTCAGATCTGCAAAACCATTCAGCAGACATTCTAAAGAGCCATATGTGGGCCGCCACCACTCAGAAACACTGAGTTGGCAATTTGCATCTCGTTAAGCCTCCCACTCAGAGCTCCATGTGTGCTTCCCTTATTGGCTTCTGATTCAGAAAGTTCACAGTGTCCCCACTGTCCTGGCTTGGGGTGGACAGGTACTCTAACTCATAGCCTCCGCTTCTGTTGGCCGGGCGGACTTCATTTGATGGTTTTTTGTGTTCCAGGATCTGCTGCAGCTGGTGGCCGGCGTAATCGGGCTTGGTGGTGAGGGGTCCTACTGGAACCTCTATGCCCAGGATGTCGGTGACCATGTAGGGGCGAAGCCAGCCCACCAGAGGGGTGCTGCCAGGGGTGTAGTGGGTCTGCCGGTGGTAGAACAGGAGACCATCCACCTGCAGCCAGAAATTCAGAATTAAAACTAATCAAAGCCTGATGGGAAGCACCCAACATGTATCTGACTAACACTTCTTGCAATGTGCAGCAGTGAGGTATTTGCAAAAAAAAAAAAAAAAAACGGTTGAAGGACGAGATAACTTTTCTTACGCTGAAGTTGTACTCAGCTGCCAGAGCTTTCTGAATCAGCTCTGCTGTGCAGTCAGTACTTTGGAGGCTCACAAACCGGAACTGTTGGACCAAACAAAACCAGAGCAGCACGTTGTTAGTTCCAAACACAATTTGTCTTCTTGTCAAATGTGAGAAATTGCTTTCCAATGGTGAGTTTACTCTACAAGGACTAAGCCTAGCTCCTAGTGGGCTGTACCACACAAACACTGAGGATTTAGTGGTGGAACTTGAACTCAAAGTTCACTTAAAGCACCATAATCTCCAAGATTTGAGTGTAATAATCACTTCAGAGCACAATTAGGAATAAAGACGGCAATGGGAGTTTGCCTTTCATTTTCCTTTGTCTCATTTCCCCCCTGAAGAGGCTTATTCATTAAATTCAAGACTTTATGTGGAAATAAGGTGCAGCAAGGCATAAAGCACAACAGACACAAAATGCAGAAAACCTAAGATTGAATAAACATGTTACAGTGTTTCAAATAACAATACTAAGTACTGGAAACTAGGAAGGAAAAATAGGGCACGAAGTGAAGAGGCTCTATTCCTGGTGCTGTTACTCACAGGGTTGCGTTTGGCGATTTCTGATAGGCCGTCCGCCTCCTGGACTTTGGACTGGAGCCAGTAGAAACGGAACTCAGTCTGTTGATGAGAGAACAAGCTCTGTAAACAAGAAAACTCTTTTTCGAATCCCGAGCCAATGAGATGGGCAACGTGGCAAAACAGCACATCTGTGGCCCAGACTTTGCTACTTAAGCAATTAGACAAGCATTCCTGGATTGCTGGAGGATTAGAAGCCTGTCTTACCGGGCAGTCATACACCGGGTGGCCTCTCCAGCACATGACATCCAGGATGTAGTACGTTCTGTCCACCTCACTGTAAATGCAGTCCAGGATTGTGTAGTCTGCATGGGGCACGTACAAAAAGGGCCACTTACAGACAGACAGCATACACTAGTATAAAACACATTCATAATAACTTAATATCTTAACTATTATTTAAGCTACTAAATAAAAAAAAAAAAAGACTTACAACCTGATACAAAATAATTTTAACATACTGTAGCGACAAGGGGTATGACAGTATGGTTCGTTGATAGCAGTGGCACAAAAGTTACAATACTCATATATTCGATTGCGCGAATCACTTTTTGGTCCTGAACTATGTTTTGGAACAACAATTAGCCAGAAGACACTGGCACTCTCACCAACCCCCACCCTCCAGAACCAGTGCTGCAAGACATTTCTGCTCTAATGCTTCATTTCCACTGCATGGTACGCCTTGGCTCGGATCGCTGGGAAACTTTCCTTTGTGGTTTGCTGACCCTGTTCAATATTGCGATGGCGATATGACTTGCAATAAATAAACAAATACTGAAGAGTGCATATTGTGAAGAAATTTTCCTTCTTTACATTAGACTGCAATGGTATAGGGCTCCCCTTACCACTGTAAAGTCTACAAACCTAAAGGAGGTCACAGGTCACAGCCTGGTAATCTGGCCTCCTCTCTGACTGTTTGGCTGACTAGACTATGCAGAGCAGCTGATAAGGTTGAACACTGAGCACCCAACATATCGTAGTAGTACTTTGTTAGACCAAGTTAAGAACAATCTGATTCACAGACTGACTCATTTGTCTCCTTTATAAGATACGTGGCAAACTGAGCTAAACAGACGTCATACAGACAGCTTATGTTTTGGTAACAATACGCTATTAGCTGAGCTAGCACACTGTTCTTGTGGATGAGGGGTGATTGAAACACTTTATCTGTGATTATTATATTTTAAAAGTTATAGGTTAGTAAGCATAACCTGAAATAGACTGACAGGTGAATGAGAGCAAATGGGAGAAGCTACTGTTGTCACTTCCCTGTGTTGCTAAAATGGTTTACTATAATAAACCAGTGTCCTCCAAATACAACAGGCCCTCCTACCTTTTCCCATGGCTGAGTTGTGTCGGTTTCCACCGGGCAGCAGGGAGGGGAAACGATTCACACAGTAGCCGCTTTTAGTGTAAGCTGCAGTGGAACCCTTCAGAAAAAGAAAAACAGAAGGAAGAGACAACTGTTACCACAATGGCTGTCCACAGGGACATTTTAACTGGAAACTGAGTAGAAAAGATCACAACATTGGCTATTTGGTTTCTTCTGCTACTATCTTCCACATACTTATAAACAGTCATGAAGTACAAATACCTTTTGTGCAACTTGATTCGTCACAATGTTGTCTCACTGAAAGGACAATACTCCTAAATTATTGCCCGGCCCCGTCTGAAACCATAATCATAATAGAGCTCTGAAGGTTTACTTAAGAATAATTGCACAGTATTTGGCCACTATAATTATTTAGTCATGGTGTCCTATGCAGATCCTTTAATAACACCATACATATGTACTATACGATCAAAATAGTGCATATTATATTCTAAATTCACAAGACAACTTGTCTTAACTGCTTGGGTCATGCAAATAATGGGACCTAAAAATGGACAGACATCAAACCCCTCACTCTTGGCACAATTAGTGCCATGAGGTTCCCACAGAGTTGTGCAGGAACTTTGGAGATAAAAAGCCAAAAGCTAGCTAACTGAGAAATGAATGTGAATGCTCGAGATCAGATGAAACATGCTGCATTTGGTTGCAGCAACCATCTGCTGTTTCTGTGTTTCAAAGAGTCTTCAGTCCTCGTTCTGTAAAGAGCGCTGTGCAGCGGCTCAGTTTTGGCATCAATGAGGTCAAAGTCTGAAATAATGAATGAGGAACCAGATGACTGTTATGATGTGATAGATGGTTGCATCATCGGCAGTGACACTAGTAAACAAAATGTGTGTGTGTAGCAACAGAGAAAAACTGTAGGGCAAGAATGACAGGACCAGCATAATGTAGCAGAGTTCCTAGTAATCTGCTTTTAATACTGTCAGCCTTTTCATTACTCATAAACCACAAAAGTGACAATACGACGCAGATGAGCAGGTTGTTTTACATTCAACAATACCACAGAAAAACACACATGATGTTGTAAGAAAGTAAATTGGAAATGTTATGACAGAGTTGATTATTCACAAGAAGTAGAAGTAGATTAATTCTAATATAAGAGGGGGATTGTTTGGGGGTAGGTTTAATTTAACTGATAGGTTTGGTGACTCAACTGCCTCCACTCATTGAAGATATTATCTATAGTCATTTTTACACCATTTTTTAGTATTTCATAGACTAAAAGGTTAATCAAGAATATAATCAGCAGGTTAATTGACGATGAAAGAAATCATTAGTTGCAGCCCTAATCCTGATGCTGCCCAGTACCAGTCCACAACCCTGAGTTGTATTAGGAATACACTGCTATAGAAATGACCCACACAAACCTTTGGCCTTTTGGCTAGATAGTACCCCAGAGTAGGGTAGAATTGGCAGAATATTAAACAAATGAAAACCTTCATGTACTTCTTTTCACTAGAGGCCTTTCCAGCAGGGCGGCAGACAATCTGTCTCTTTCCTGATGATGAAGATGAACTTTCATGCTGTTCCTGTATTACAATCTAATGACATAAGTAATGTTTACATCAGAGGACAACTTATTTCCGAATGAATGACGAAACACAGCGTGACTCAATACAACATACAGCCTGACACAACTTGATTTTGGTAGTTCTTGTTTTTCACTTTTCGCAACACTTCTTCGGTGTCATGGCCAAACTAGAGGTGGGTGATAGATATCGTTTGCGATAATATCGTCATTGTTGTTTTGACGATGTGCACATTTCCATTATCGAGTATTTAAATTACTTTGCCAAAAATATTGAAACGCACGCGGAAACTCCTCACATCCACTTAATACACGGTGCAGCAATGCTCTCTACAGCATGGCGGGATTCAGTCACACGACTAGTGGGCCTACGTGATCACATGACGTGATCACGTGACCTCTCGCTTGCATCCTCCTTGCAACAGTTTAGCAGCACGTTGTGATGGTAGAGAGAAAATGCAAGCACCTCCAGTCCCTGAAGCTACCGGTACTTCAGATGATTTAGTGCCGAGACGTGGGTCTACCTCTCTGGCATGGAAATGGTTTAGTTTCGAAAATACTTTTTAGCGCAGCGCTCAGAGCGCTTCAAGTTGAAATCTGTTCAACTTTTAACACCGCTGGGCGCTCAGAAAATTAGTTTTTGAGTGCTCTCAGCGCTAAAAACGCGTTTGGTGGACACAAGCCCTAACTCAGACTATTCACATTTTATGGGATATCGACTGATTATCATTATCGCCAAAATCCCAAAGAATTTTGCCCATATCGCCCACCCCTAGGCCAAACATGCAACTTTTTAATATGGTAATCCTTTTTGACCCTACATACACTTCTCCACATTGTTCCAGTATCATAATGAAATCTATTCTAGTTTACCACTTTCTTTGTCACAGGTTCAGGAAAATTCTTCCTAAAGGCTCGCCCACATTACTAATTTTGAAGGGTTTCCCGGACAAAAGTGACTCATGTTACTCATAGGCACAACTCACCTCATTCTCCTCAATACCAAGAATGCAGTTTTGAATAAAACTAAAAGCATAAAATGCAAAGCACAATAATCCTATCAGAATATCGATTCAGTACAGCTGTGACACTGCATTCAAATTAGAGATTGCTGTTGTTCATGATAATCAAATTTTGAAAATGGCAAGACTTCCGACCTGGGCTGGGAGATGACACATAAAAAAAATAATAATAATAATAAAAAAAGCCAATAGGAAACTTAACTGAAGAGCAGTGACACGTTTCTTACCTTTGAGGCAACAATGAGAGATCTTTTCCCCATGGGACAGACCACCATCAGCCAATCAGTGTCCAGTTCTGATGGCACATCCACCAGCCACTCTGACAGCATGAGCTAAGGAGGAAGACAAACTCAGACTTTTATCCTCATAAACACTGTATTCAAGAGTCAAAAAATAATGATGTGAAATCGGTTGGCATTCAATAAGCCTGTTTGGCTTTCATTTTAGAAACAAATGCGCCCTCTGCTGGTCGAGATGAAGAATGAATGAACACATGAATAAGAATGTCTCTGGGTAGTAACACATCAAACACTGACCTGGTTTGCATAATGTTTCGGCAGCTTCCTCCTCTCAACCTCCATCCCCTCTTCCTCTGCGTTGCCATCTTGCTCCCGTTCCCCCTCGTTCTGTTTTTCCATGTCCTCCTCTCCATCGCTGTCTGCCCCCGTCCAGTCCCCGTCAGCCAGACGCCGCGCATGGTTGACGTAGTTTAAACGTTTACTGAAATTAGGGATGAAAAAAAAATTAATTCACATTCAGATACTTGCACTGTGCTAATCAGGGTCTAAAATGACCTTGATCGAGGAATCAATCCAATGCTTTATCTGGGGCTGAAAGAAAATTACAACCAAAAATATTTTTCGACAGGCCAGATAACTGCAGCTTCACAAATGTAACGATTTGCTGCTTTTCCTTTTAATTACTTTAATTATTTAATATTGACAATTATTGAGGTTTGGACTGTTGGTTGGACAAAACAAGCATATGAGGGTGTCACTTTAGACTCTGCGATGGCATTTCTCACTATTTTTAGAACTGATTGGTAATTAGATTAATAGATTACAGGAGAAACATTTTCCTGATTATACATACAAAAGTTTTACTTTAATAACATTTGCAATGCAGGCATTTTACTAGTAACTGAGTATTCTGTGATATTAGTATTTTCCCTAAGTAAAGGATCTGAGTAGTTCCTCCATCACTGCCCCTCTCTATCAAAGTAAACAATCCCCGCCAGCCTCCCATACATTGCATTATTGTGCCATTATATTATCATAATATCAGTCACATGAAACGGTCTTAAAATGACAATAATATGGTTTATTGCATTTATTTCTGGGACAATATATCATCCAACAAAAGTAGCAACTGTGACAGGCCTAATGGGATGTGAGTCTCTCCCAGTACGTGAGAGAAGTGCCAGCATGTTGCCGCAGTCACAGAACAGAGCTTTATGCTACAAGTTACTGTTAGCTGTATCGTAGCTAAATCAGCATATTAGTTCCTGAAAGTTGTTGTGTTTGTCCCTGTTCATGCAATGTTACCATGGCGTCTTCTTGCAGTCTTCACAGCGGTGTGAAATGTTATCTCCCACGCATAAATGTTACCAGAGGAAATACTGTGCTAGCTAGATAACTGTAGTGACGGTGGACAGCGAGGGACAATCATTGATTGACTGTTATACAGTGCATACTGCCCCCAGTGCAGAGTTCATGCAAAACAAAATGTGGTCAGTCAACTTATGTGTTGTAGTGATGAGAGTTTGTAGTGAAGTAGTGTATTGAACATTATAGTGTCTGACAACTGTTAGTGCAGTCGAAGGTATGCTGCTGGAAACAGAAAGCGGAAGAGCAGAAAACTATTACCTTAAGTCTCTGTGACGTAATAAAATAAGATTCATTTGGAGTAGTGATTTTAAATCGGTCGAATTCAAACCCAGAAGGGAGAGCTCCATACTGTGAACTGTAGTGTGAGGACAGTTACCTTTTCTGCAGGTCAAGGAAGCGTCGGCGCCGCTCGCTCTGCTCCAGCACGCTGTACTTGCTCTTGTACTGGGCCAGCCGAGGGTGGGGGGCGGCTGTACTGTTGGGATCCTTGGACACAGCAAAGCTGGCTGACAGGGCTTTGGTCAGGTCATCCATGGGGACTCTGTAAATCAATACACCAGTGGTTATATAAGCTTATAAGCATTTTCCCCTTCTCTCTGATATTGACCATCCCCTTCCCTGAGACTAGTGAAAGAGCTTATATTATAAGGACATGTGGTTGATGAATTTATGAATAATCACTATGGTTAAGCCTGGAAATGACACAAACAAGAGTACAATTTATTTTGGTACACTTGTAAACTCTGATTCTGAAGAAAAGGTGTATCCAACATTTCCTGCAGACATTGTCTGTATTCTGGCAGTTCAACCTTGTCAGTTAACATCTGTTTGATATTTGCATGATGGCACATTTGTTCATGTCACTGTGTGTGTGTGTGTGTGTGTGTGTGTGTTGTGTGTGTGACTCAGGGATTTATCTCAGTTGTCTTTAAAAAGGACCAGTGTGTAGAATTTAGTTGCACCATCATCTTTAAAATGCAGTGTATATATATATAAAGAATCTAAACTGCGTAAGCTTACATGGATGTCCAGATGTAACGTTATGTGTATCATTTCATTATGTAGTAATCTATCGATCTAGTCTAAATTCATTTATTTTGTTTGGTAAATGATTAACTGATTGTCAAAAATGTCTCTTTTCTTAATTCACTGGTTAATCAACTAATCCTTTTAGCATTAATATAGATGACTGTTTGTTGCTTTCTGTAACATTAGATATTAATAGTGCCATAACCCAGCTTTAGTAACCATGTAAACACATAATTTGCCTGCCAATAACATCATCATATTATGTGCTTGAATAACGTATTCATGCCCACCTGTATCCTCCCTCGACCTCAGTGGCTCCTCAAAGTTCTCTTGGTTAGTTCATTTCAATGCTACACAACTTTCCCTCTCAGCTAACTAAGCTACAACACAATGCAACAGTTTTTAGACACTGTAATCTATGTTCATGTAATACACCCAGACGACAAAGGTCTTCTAACGTTAATAACAGATGATGGACCCTCATCTGGTGGCTGTCTAATGGGATTTTACGATGAAAACAGCCCGGAGAGCTGTGTTTAACAGACTGCTAACAGACTGCTAACGAACAGCTAACGAACAGCTAGCCAGTGATGTAGCTAGCACAATGCTAAGCCTGCTAGCATCATGTGGCCAAGACGTTACTGCTTTTATTTTCCTTCTTGCTTCACACAGACATTTTCAGAGCTAACCTCACTACTGGACAGCAGGTTTGGTCAGACAATAGTTAATAACATTATCTAAAAACATTACCGTTACCTTGGATACTCCGAGAGGCTGCTGCTGCTGAAACGTCACGATGTCATTTTTCCCACCAGTGGCGACTTTTAGTTGGCCGATTAAATACAGAAAACTATCCCGGAGTTTCACACAGTAAACATTTGCACTTTATTGTAAATAATAACAGTTCATCATATATTATAAATACTGTGTTTCTGGTGCACATGTTTCTAAAACATTTATATAAAATCCGTTTTATTTAGCAAAGTGTGTTTGTTACATCTATAAGTTTGTGAAACAATACATATTTGCAGTAGTGGAAGTATTCAGATTAAATAAAAGTAGCAAAACCACACCATCAACAGTTCGGCCTTTAAAGTACACAATTTTTATCAAAAACATTTTCTTAAAGTGTCAAAAGTAAAAGTTACTCATTATGTGAAATGGCCCTTGTAAGTTAATTATTCAATCATTACTATTGATGAATAATGATAAGCAGTAGGCCTATGGGCCTATTGTAATATACAGTAGAGCTTATTTGAACAATTACATATACTGTTGGATAGCTTAATCCATAACAATGCCATCAATTCTTAATTGTGATAATTATTAATTAATTATATAATCTTTCCCCTGAAATTTGTCATGTGAAGGTATAAAAGTAGCATAAAATGGGAATACTCAAGTAGAGTAGCGATAAGCAGGCTACCTCAACATTGTACTTCATCGTGCTGTACTGTACTTGACTGAAATCATTACTCTGTTTTGTCTGTTCAGTTTTATTGTCCTGTGAAGCACTCTGAACTGCTTTCATATGAAATGTTGTTATACAAACAAAATTTGAAGTTGAATCTGAACATATTATGGTTAAGGAATATCTGTATCAAATATGAATTAAGTATATACTAGAAGTCAGTTCTAATCTGTTTATCAAGACTATAATGAGCAAATATAAGCAAGAATAACCAGTAGCCCAACTTGAAATTCTTATTTATAAAGTTAATAATAACTCAAACTGTCAAATAAATATAGTGCAGTAAAAAAATACAGAAATGTAGTTGAAAAGAAGTATAAAGTGTCATGAAAAGGAAATACTAAAGTAAAGTACAAGTACATCAAAGTATTATTTTAGTTTACATTCCACCTACTACTACTAATTATTATCATTATATAATTATACTGATGATAATAATAGTAATCATAATTATTAATTTATTCCCCTTCTACTTTCTTAATAATCATCATTATCACCATCTTCTGAAGCCTGGTTACATAAAGTGTCCCCTGTAATCCGCGTTGTAGGCTATAACCAGTCTCTCCTGTTGGGGGCAGTGCTGAGCCAGTTTCTCCTCTTTCAAAGAATATAAAGGAGCGGATGAAAAAAAAAAAAAAAGCGAACTTGCCTTCAATTGTCCAAGCCTCACGTCATGGAAAGAGTTACTTTGTTGCAGCGCGCACGGGAGTAAACCCAGAGAAATGGCCCTGACCCGTGCTGTGTGTTGATATTTTGTAGGAGGACATTGTGTGCTGCCGGATTCTGCTTTTTTTTCTCACATTCAAAGGATCGAGTGAAGATGCGCAGGAACCTGTTTACAAGGAAAACGCAGCAAGTTTCAGTCTGAGGGAATGCGGTCTTAAACTGCACAGGGATACCATTACTCATCCCTCTGTTTTTCTTCCCGGCAGGCCACTTTGTCTTGGAAATATCTTCATCGAGGATCGTTTTTTATTAAGAATCAAGTGTCTGTTAAGTGATCAACGCCAGGTTACTGTGCAATTTTCAGAGGATTAAAAACCACCGTCGCTGCTTTTGGAGGAGCTCGTTGGCGTAAACACTTTTGTTTTTGAACCTGTTTTTGTTTTATGATGTGAAAGGAGGTAAAGAGTTTGTTATGAGAGAGAGTTGTTGTGTTGTAGAGCCTTTATAGCCGAAAGTTATTGTTAGACTGTTAGGCATAATAGATAATAAGACAATAGAGCGACAGTCTCAATGGGCTGAGGATGCTAGTGGTCACAGTAGGCATATCTTAGACTTTTTCTGTTGGCTGATAGGAGTATTAGGTTTGCGCAACTGTTGACTTCTTCTGTGTTTACTAAGTGTCAGATCATTAAATTTACATCCTGCGCTGTTGCACACCTCATCCCACAGCTGCCATGTCATTTGAGATGAGTTTAAATATTACAGTGAGCTAGTGTCAGATGTTTCCAGTACAGCATGCATCAAGACAGTAGCATCAGTATAATCTAGGCACTATGGGTATGTAGAATTTGTTGCTTTAGGACCCACTGGAGTATCAAGATGTCAGTGAAAGCCAAAGCAATCTACACTTTTCAAAGTGAAAACAAAGAGGAGATCAGCATCCAGGAGAATGAGGAACTGGTTATCTTCGACGAGAACTCAGTGGACGGCTGGTTCCAGGGGGAGAACAGCCGAGGGGAGAGGGGTCTCTTCCCTGCATCCTATGTGGAAATTATTCGCACTCGCTCAAACTCCAACGTGACTGACTGCTCCATAAGCCCGGCAGGATCTTTAGGAAATGACTCCTCCTATTTCCCCTCAACCCCAAACACCCCTCTTCATTTGCAACAGGGTTACTATGACGACGACGACGATGACTGGGACGACTGGGATGACAGATCCACAGTGGTGGACGATGGCGACCACACTAGGAGCCCCGGGGCCAATGGACATGCCCATCAGAGCCCGTTGTCAAACAACCCCAATGTGCACTACCGGAGCAAACCACACATGGAGAGACAGGACAGCATCTCCAGCTCGAGGAAAGGCAGTATGGTGGGCAGGAACTTGAACAGATTTTCCAGCTTTGTCCGTTCAGGGGTCGAAGCGTTTGTGTTGGGGGATGTACCCATGATGGCAAAGATAGCTGAGTCATACACCATTGAGATGGGTCCCATGGGGCCCCTGTGGAAGGATAGCCCACAGCCTTTCTCCTGCTCCATTGAAGACCCCACTAAGCAGACAAAGTTCAAGGGCATCAAGACGTACATTTCGTACCGGGTGACGCCGAGCCACACAGGGCGTCCTGTCTACAGGCGCTACAAACACTTTGACTGGCTGTACAACCGCTTACTGCACAAGTTCACTGTGATCTCCGTGCCTCACTTGCCTGAGAAGCAGGCCACGGGGCGATTTGAGGAAGATTTCATTGAGAAGCGTAAGAGGCGACTGATACTGTGGATGAACCACATGACCAGTCACCCAGTCCTCTCCCAGTATGAAGGCTTCGAGCACTTTCTGATGTGTGCTGATGACAAACAGTGGAAACTGGGCAAGAGACGGGCTGAGAAGGACGAAATGGTGGGTGCCCATTTCATGCTGACCCTCCAGATCCCTAACGAGCACCAGGACCTTCAGGATGTAGAGGAGCGGATCGACTCCTTCAAATCCTTTGCTAAGAAAATGGATGACAGCGTGATGCAACTCACACATGTTGCTTCGGAGCTGGTTCGTAAGCACCTGGGTGGGTTCAGGAAGGAGTTCCAGCGGCTGGGAAATGCCTTCCAGTCTATCAGCCAGGCGTTCGCGCTGGAGCCTCCTCACAGCTCAGAGACCTTCAACAACGCCATCTCCCATACAGGCCGCACCTATGAGAACATTGGAGAGATGTTCGCAGAGCAACCTAAGTATGACCTCTTCCATATGCTGGACAAGCTGTCGCTCTACCAAGGCCTGCTCGCCAACTTCCCCGACATTATTCATCTACAGAAAGGTAAAATCATCCGCAAATAGTTTCAGTGTGTGAGACATTTCTCTGATGTGCTTGTGCGTGCAAACTCTGTTAAAGGGAAATTACAAATGTAACAATAGTAAAAAATGTTAATGATGATACATTATCATTATCAAACATGTTTGGATGTATCCTTAGCCTCCCATCCAGTTACATTCCTGCAGTTTCATTCATATTTGAACTCAATGACCGCTCCTGATTAGAAATTTTTCCAGCCATCAGCCTTCATAATGGGCTTTTTATATCACAGTTTATCACCGGATATATCACTAAGTTGAAGGGAGAAAGCTTTTAAAGGTTCTTGATTTGTTTTTATGATTTTATTAAGGTTTTAAATTTCTTTTTAACACAGTACAGACACAGATAACAAACTCTTTACAAAAGGTATATAAAATGTCTAAGTGGTCCCATACATTGTAGTTTTGGTATGCCAGACTTTCCAAGTATTGCATTCCAAGTAACATATAGGCCCATTGTGCTGCCACTCTAAGCCGGGGTCAATCCTTTTCCCCCCAAACTTAGATATACAATATTTTTTTCCGACCGATCAGTACTTCTATAAGACAACATGTCCATATTAGACGGCGACTTTACCAACTCCAGTAAACCAGTCCTGAAAGGCTCCCTGGTGTCTCTCACAACCACAAATCTAAATCCAATCAGACACACTACAGTGGGCGACTTGTAGAGGATCACCCAGAATTTACAGCTATGGCTTGAAATCAAAATTGTCCTCAGAAATGTCTGTAATACAACCATGCATGGCTACAAATAGTCTTGAAAGGGCACTTGAAACTTTGTAACAAGTGATATTCTGTATCAGGTTGTCAGCAGCAGCTACACTGGGAACTAGTTGCAAAAGCTTCTGTAGTAGTCATAGAATAATACACAGTGTCTGCTAATGGGAACAAACTATGCTGATGGCCGGTGATCATGTTTTCTTCCTCAGTCTGTGCTATTTATTTAGTTATGGATGACAGATTAGGTCAGGTTTTGCCTCCAGCATCTCCCCTCCCCTTATCACAGACACACACACACACAGACATACACCATATGATATACCCAAGAATGAAACATAGTATTTGTATGTTTTATGTGGTCAATCTGAGATGAATATTAGGTCAAAGTCTTTGCCTGCAGCAACTGATGTCCTTTGCCCCACCTCCTTGACCAAACCAGACACACACACCCACATACTACCACATTCTTTCGGTTTAACAAATACTTTCTTTACAATAATGGACTTTGACAACCAGTGCAAACAGGCCTTTAAAGAGAAAGTGGTGGAGTATTAGACAAATGCTTTATTTGTCACTTTCTAGGTGTTTATGTACTGGTTTGATTATTAGATTAATCATTTTGGTGGGCTAGTAGAAGTGGAGTGCTTTTATTGTGGTAGTTCACCTTAGATTCACCTGCGTACTGTTTCAAGCTTGATGAGACAAACAGGCACGAGCTTTGTTGTAGTGTAATATTACAACCAACAGCCATCACGTGACAAGGACACCTGAGTAACAAAGGCAGGGACTGGCTTATGGACTGGGATTTAAGAATAAGTGATATGTCATCAGGTTATCTTGGCCTTAGTGACCTTTGGACTTCCTCAGTATTTCGGTTAATTCTGTAGGTTCAAAATATAATTAAATACCTGTTGAAGTGATCAAACAGTGGCAGATTTACACAGTTCACAGTAGGATAGGATCCTTGAAATCCTTGTTTTTTAAATTTATTTTGGTGACATCCTAAGGGCTCAGCAGTCACTTCTGTGGTCTTTTAATTTGGCAATTCTCTGAGACAACTTGTTGACATCTTCATCCTTCCAATGGTTGTATCATCAAGTAATACTGTATATTGATACTACCCATTTGATCTTTTATTAACTCCAAATATTCTTCAGATGCAAAAGTTTCTATTAACTGGCAAAAAATGTAAATAATGATTACCTTTCACATATAAATGTGGCAAAAATACTCACAGCTGTAAATGGCCACAGTGGCAAGTGATGCTCTAAGCAGCTAATGATTTATTGCTTATATTTGTTGAAAACCACCATTGCTTATTTTACTCTCTGTTTAATCAGTGACTTTATTTACCTAACATGATAAAGCATGCCGTTGTCCTGTAATGGTCATATTACTGATTTGAATACTCCATCACTGTCGTATATGTGATGGCTGATTTTCATAAACCCTACAGTAAAATATTAGTCTGCACTGCAACTCTGGCTTTTTTCTGTGGTTATCCTTGGTGCAAGACAGTCAGAGCACTGGCATATCAGCAGTCTGTGTCAGCTCTCAAACAAAAAACCGTATCAGTTGATTGGAGTTAGTTGAGGGGGAAGGAAAGGGCTGCTACCAGTGAGTTATTATCTCCTTCAAACAGCTGGCAGTGATTATCAAAGTTATTCATGATAAAGTTCAGCTAGTTACATTTAGTCACTCCACCCTAGAATAAATGAGAAAAACAAAGCCATCTGAATGATATTAAAAGGTGAGTCCACCCAAATCAAAATGGTGGTGTCAGGCCATGCAAATAGTTGATAAATTAATAATAGGTTTCATATGCCGACGTTTTGAGATATCTGGCTATGAAATGTTATTTTTAAATGCTTGGAGCATCACCAGGGGTGAAAAATATGTCTCTCTGTAATAAGGGTGAACTGACCACACACTATAAAATAAAAAATAATGTGTACTTCCTCTTACAAATGAAAAGTTAAGCTCATAAGCAGTAACACAGTCCTGCTTAATTCAGGTTCCTAATGTTAGCTAATGTTGCCAAACTTTAGCTGGATATTGATTATTGCTGTGTAACTGACTATTATAGTCTTTAATGACCAGTGTGTAGGAATTAGTGGCATCTAGTGATGAAGTTGCAGATTGCAATCAACTGAATACTGCTTGCCTTCCAAGCGTGTGGCCACAAAACTGTGTTTGGCTTGTCCATTCTGGGCTACTGTAGAAACATGGTGGTTCAACATGGAAGATAAAGCAGCTCATTCTAAAGTAACCAAAAAAATTCTTATTTTAAGGTGATTATACACAAATGAAAACACACCTATGAATATAATCTTCCATTTCTGCCAGGAGAGCCTCCTTAATGTTACACAAGTATGCAGGTATTTCAGTGGTTTTCTTTTACAATCATGTTTGGTAGTTTTATTAACACCAAGGGATTTTTTTACTGAAGAAATTATATATATTTTTTCTAGAATTGCTCTATTTTGTAGAATCATTAAAAAGATGATCAAATATATTGTTTGTACAGGCCAAACGAATGCTTTTCGGACGAAATTGTGCCTATGAAATGGATTACAGAGTAATTGTTTGAACATATATTTTTGTTTTTGAAGCTTATCTATGCTCTATTTTAGCCTGTATACAGTTGTCAAGAGTAGGTCTGTGTATCAAATACTTGACTTTGTCTTAAATTTGGCATCTGAGGCTGAGAATTGATATTAGTTTCATGTTTGTACAATAAATATGAACCTGGAGCCAGGAGACAGTTAGCTTAGCTTAGCATAAAGACTGGGAGCAACAACATCTGCCATCTGTGTGCAGTAACTTTGTGGAGTCTTGTTGTCATTGTGAGGTTGCCCGGTACCCACTGGAGACTCCGTAAGGTATTGAAAAAAAGGGTAGTTCTGGTAACGGTGCAAAAAGTAGAATAAAATAGCCTCAATACTGTGCAGGGTGAGGTTGTGCAGCAATGTTTTTGTGCAGGCAGAGACCTTTTCCCTGTGCTGAGTCTTCCCTGCCGGTCCAGATAACTCCCCTTGATGTGACTTGTGTTCTGCTGAACCAGATACAGCTGTGGCAACACTCAGAACACACAGAACTGAGGTCAACCTTTTCCGGTGCACTCCTCCTCCTCCTCTTCATCCCCTCATTGCTTCTTTCCTGCCTGACTCTCGTCTTCGCTGAGGTCTATAGGAGCTGTTTTTTAACTGTGATCCTGGTGAGCATATGAACTGCAGGAATGTTAACTGTCTTTGAGATGTGGTGTTGGGCAGCGACTGCATGTGGCCCGGATAAAATGGATGTAGGGAGGAAAAGGTTTTGGCTATTGTCAGAAAAATGTCAGGGTGTGCTGCATACATGTCTTTTCCCCATTTTCTATATCCTGTTTTGGCTTTTATTCAACAGATCCTTGAGTCTCTTCTCTTTTGGCCTCTGCCGTTGCTCAATCTGCAAATCAGAAATGCTTCACCTCTGTTTCTTATCCCCTTCACGTCTTCTTCTTTTCATCTTTTCTCCTCCCGATTCCCCCTAAAGACATCAATATCAAAACTGTCTGTCTGGGTCGCTGTCCTGGTTTTAATAATGGAGAAAGTAAAGCTTGTCTGGTCAAAAGACTTGGACTCCTAACAGTGCACTGCCGTACTTTGAACCTCTGCCAAAACTAATCCCATTGTTAGACATTGATCTCATTTGAATATAATTGAAAGTCTTGATCTGAAGGGTTAATAACATTGCGTTGCAAAAGAATAAAGGGCCTTTGAGGCTTTAGTGTGAGAGGCAGATGTGAGCACTGCCAGCTACAACCGCACTGCCTGTTACAATTAATTGTTTGTTGGTAATCCTGGTCACTGAAATTTATTGTGGTTCTCGTGACAAAATAGTACTTGTTTTGAATTATTGTACATAATCATAAAGTGAGCTGGTCTGGTATCAATCTGGTGTTAAATATGAAATGTGTGTTCTATGGAAGGAAGGTTACATTGACTGCGATTGTAAAAGGTATTCCTGAGAGTAAAGCAGATATCATGTTCTGTGTTTTTGTACCTGACAACAACTGATTCACTTATCTGAGCTACTGAAGCTTTGAATCAACACAAAAGGGCACACAATGGAGTGAAACCAACCCGCCCCGTTGTGTGCGTATCTGTCCAATCTAATCTGATCATATGTTGTGTAAGATGAAGTCTGAGGCGTTGGCTCTGTCTGGGGTCTGGATCTGCATTACCTGGGTCCCCAGAATAA